CTGGGCTGGGTTATCGGCTACACTCCATAAACACTTGGTAGCTTCTTCCCTCTCCTTGGAGCTTCGAAGTGTAAGAAACTTGGAATATCTTCCATGTCGTCCGTACTCAACACTGTTTTTTGCTCGAGGTTTTCCAGATTTCACAATGGCAACAACAACAACAACAATCGCCTCTTTGTCCCAACTCACTCCGTTTCAACTGCCCCTGCTCTCTCTCTCACCAGTGAGTTAACTCGTTCCTGGTCTGTTTTTTCTCTTCCAGTAGCTAGGCCTCGATGGCAACTTGGATTGAATTTGAAATTGAATAGCTGTAAACAAGAGTTACTTTTGAGCTATTATCTTATCATTTTTATCCTTATTTTATTTTGAATTCATCTTTTTCGCTTCTAATACTGCGAACCAAATCTCGTTCCTTTTCTTTTTTTAGGAAGGAGATTGACTGTCAGGGCGGCGGACACTGATACAAATGAAGGTTTGTGTTTGACCCTTTTTTTGTTGCTTTTTTTTAAATAACCATATGAACTAGTTTTTTTCAATCGAATTTTAGAATTTTTATGGTGGATAATTGTGTTTATTTAGCAGTAAAATCCAACGCACCGGGTAAGGCACCTTCCGGTGGAGGGTCAAGCTTCAACCAACTTCTTGGTATCAAGGGAGCTGCTCAAGAAACTGTAATTCCTCTAGATACAGATTCATTTCTACTTTTTTTTTACTTGATGATGCTAACATAATTTCAGTGATTTCTTATGATTTCTGCTCCAATTATTGACTATAAATGCAATTCGACTTCAGATGTCAACTGAATGAGAATAGAGTTCTTAGTTGCAGGGCAGCCGCCTTTATATTCTGAGGAAAAAATTATTGCTTTTAGTGCAGTAGTCATACACATAATTTGGTCCACAATAGGCAAATGTTTATTGGGGAAACTTTTTCTCTTGTTTGTTTCTTTTGCTACTCAAATGAGTAACTTTTGCCCTTGCTTATATAGGAACCTTTGAAGTTGTCCTCACTTGTATAAGAGCTATTGTATGACTTGGTGTTTTTATACATTATGCAGAATAAATGGAAGATCCGTCTTCAACTTACAAAGCCAGTTACTTGGCCTCCATTGGTATGGGGAGTAGTTTGTGGAGCTGCTGCTTCGGGTACTCTAATCTCGAAGAAAATTTATTCAGATCTATTATTAGGATTAGGAATACCCTTTTATTTTGGGTGGAAGAAGTAAATTACATAAGAAATCATATGGAAGTTCCATAATATCTACTATCTAGTGCTTGCATTTTATGTGTTGTTTTAATGTTACTTGTGAATCTAAATCACTTTCTTTTATGAATTTATTTTTGTGTCCCTGAACTCATTTACAAGTTTTATGGAGGATTTTATGAGGTAACTAGAGGACCACCTCAAATGATTTTATAAATTGTAGGAAACTTTCACTGGAATTTGGAAGATGTTGCCAAATCAGTTCTTTGCATGATAATGTCAGGTCCATGTCTAACAGGCTATACTCAGGTATAAACCCTCATGAATGATGTTGTCTATTGATTTTAATGATAAAAGGGAGCTTCAAATTGAATAATGCTAAATTGTCTGGCTAATTTGACGTTTTTCAGACTCTCAATGATTGGTATGATAGAGAAATCGATGCGATTAATGAGCCTTATCGCCCGATCCCTTCTGGAGCAATATCTGAGAATGAGGTGTGTATAACTAGTTTGTGTATGTACATGTTTTGTTTGTATTTGATATTCATTAAAATTTTCATTCAGGTTATCAGCCAAATCTGGTTGCTACTCTTAGGAGGCCTTGGCATAGCTGGTATACTAGACGTGTGGGTAGGTAATCCCATACAATGGGCACGTTTTACCTAAAAGATGTACAAAGACAAAGCAGTTCTAATCCATCTGTATAGGCAGGACATGACACTCCTACTGTATTTTACCTTGCTTTGGGAGGATCCTTGCTGTCATACATATACTCTGCTCCTCCTTTGAAGGTAGTTCACTTGCGTACTGTCATTATCTACTTTGTTCTTGTGGATGAAACAAGCTCTCTAACTAAATTTCAAATATTTTGCAGTTGAAACAAAATGGTTGGATAGGAAATTTTGCTCTTGGAGCTAGCTATATCAGTTTGCCCTGGTCTGACGTCATCTATTTTGCTAATGTTTACAACATAAATTAAACTACCGTTATTCGCCTAGGATGATTCATGATTTCTATGCCATTGATTTATATACCGGTTTGGAAGGCTGGTCTTGCAGGTTTAGACCCTTATGTAGAATAATCTCAAACGCTCATAATATGAGACTTACAGAATGATTTGTCTTATTTCCTTATTGAAGTATTTGACATGTCCTGGACTTTCACCTTCACTGTGACAAGCTTTTGCTAAACTTTGTTAATAGGTGGGCTGGTCAAGCTTTGTTTGGGACACTTACACCCGACATCATTGTTCTCACACTCTTATACAGCATAGCTGGGGTATGTTTTTTACATCTACCACATTCTTGTTTATGTTTTGAGGTATATATTTGACTTATATAAAAGTGTTTTTGCTGTATCACTTTGCAGTTGGGTATTGCCATTGTTAATGACTTCAAAAGTATAGAAGGAGACAAGGCTCTAGGATTACAGGTCTTCTTTTTTCACCGTTCTTATTAGTTAAATCCTTGGGGCTGTAGTGAGTTCTGCAAACTCCTTGCTTTATATTATCCTTTGAGAAAAGGGTGTTGATATTTGTATGCTTATGATGCTTGAGCAGTCGCTTCCTGTAGCCTTCGGTGCTGAGACAGCTAAATGGATCTGTGTCGGTGCTATCGACATAACGCAATTATCTGTAGCTGGTATGTAGCTGGAACTTATAACAGTAACTGAAGAACTAGGAAATTCAATGCATCTTTCTTTTGGGGAAATTAATAGCTCACTTCACATATGTTGCTTGCAGGTTATCTTCTTGGTGCTGGCAAGCCATATTATGCACTTGCCCTAGTTTCTTTGATAATTCCACAAGTTGTATTTCAGGTACAGATATTTCTTGATACATTGTAGAAACTACAACCCCTTTTACCTTGAAAGAGATTAATGCTCATATATACCCTATTCCGATGCAAAATTTTCCGAAGTGGTGGGAAGAAGAAGAAATGGGTTTTATAATCGGTCGAAAGAAGGCCAACCAGATTTTCGCAATGGGTCCATAAAGGATTGTTACACGATTTTTATCGAAAACCTTCCAGAGAAGATCCATTGGAAGAAACTTGGATCCATATTTGGCTCACATGGTCAAGTTATTGATGCCTTCATTCCCAAAAAAAGAAACTCGAATGGGGTTCGTTTTGGGTTTATTCGCTTTGCTACAATTGAAGAAGCAAGGACATCGATTTCTAAGATGAATGGTTATCATATTTACGGCAACAAAATTAGAGTCTCTTTGGCTAAACATAAACCCCGACAGTCTTACTGGCGAAAGTCCTCGAAAGTTGTTCATAGTAAGTCGGGGCTGGAAGTTTTTCCGACAATTAAACACTGTGAAGTTGAGGGTGTTGTGGACGCAGATAAACTTCATGTGTTGTCTAACTGTCTTGTGGGGTGGTGCAAGAACTTTATCAAGATTGGTAATCTTGCTAACCAAATACAAGCCAAAGGACTAGCGGGTTTCACGCTTATGAGAGCTGCTGGAAATGTAGTTCTAATGGTTTTTGAAGATTCTAATTCGTTGAGATGCGTGAAGGATGAAAAGTTAGAAACTCTTGCAGAATGGTTTTCCAGAGTGGAAACTTGGTCTGAGAGCCTTGTGGTGGAGAGCCGGCGCGTTTGGCTAGTTTGCGAAGGTATTCCTTTTCACGCTTGGAATTGGGATACTTTCAAAAACATAGCTACTAAGTGGGGCAAGTTAATAGCAATCGATAACAGTTGTGAGTTCCCTTCGTCTTTTGATCGGGCTAAAATCCAAATACTCACAAACGCTCAAGTGAGAATTAATGAGTTGTTGGAGTTGAAGGTCGGGGATCATTTATTCAAAATCTTGGTGCATGAAGTTGATCCTTCCTTCAAACCTAATTCTTGGGTTCCTGAAGATTGCGATATTTCTTTAGATCTTGATCCTCCAATTGGGTTGTGATTGTTCGGCTGCTGTATTCAGAGGCGTTTTTAAGTTTGTGGTTGTAATTGTTGGTTTTTTGTTGTTGTTATGTTATCTTACATCTTGAGGTGATTTAGGGGCTTTTTGGTTGACGATGTAAGATTTCTAGGTGATATGGGTTGTATTGGTGTTTATTCCCGTATGTGGGTTTGGTGTTACCTCATGTACTTAGTATTATATTTAATAAAATATGAGGCACTCTTTTCTCCCTTCCTTGTTCTTCAACATACTTCTAAGTATGTGGAAGAATACGAAGGGAGTTTTTAATGAGACCTCCAACTTCTATCAAAAAAAAAAAGTACGATGTCAAGTATCAGGTAAATTTACTCAGTCCATTGCTGGTGCAATTTAGCTCTTGTTTGGTATTGATCGTTTAAGCTTGTTGTTGTGTTTCAGGCAAGCGCACAACCATTTCTAGTGCTTGGTTTGCTGGTGACTGCTTTAGCAACGAGCCACTGATGAAATTAATCGGTCTATTGCCAATGTATCTTTTCTTGCCTCCTTTTTCCTTTTACCATTTTGTCTTGGGAAAGTCTCTAGAAAAGGGTTACTCAAAGCCATGCTGTAGTTGCTACTAACGGATTTCAAAACTCTTCGTTTTCTTCACTTTGTGAAATAAATAGATATGTTTGGTGATGTCATAAATTGTATGGGTTTTAGTAGTGTATGATAAAGCATTATGTCATGTTGGAGTAGACACTAGTCTGCCATTAGATATTCATAGAGATGACCACTGGAAAACAAGAAAAACAAACCAACCCTACTGAAAACACAGGAAAAAAAGAGAGAAAAGAACAACATAAGAAGAGTACCGAAAACCCTACTTAAGACTCAACCCTAGCAAACAGAGGCACAACACAGTACAGTCTTATGGATTCCTAGTCCTGAACTTGGATTCGTCGATGTCGATTCCTTCCTCGGCAGCTCGGTCACCCCCTGACTTGTCCGTGCTGCTGAGTCCACCTTTTCGACCCATTTCTTGATACCCTTCACTCCCCATCTGATCCTTCCTTGTTTGTCCTCCTTTGCTTCCAAGCTCCTGATACCCTTCTCTCCCTAGCTGCCTCCTCCTTGTTTGGCCTCCTTTACTTCTCCCTATATATTCACGAATATATATATATAAGAATGGTCATTATCAAACAACTAATGTAGGCATTATATATGGTATATACCGTCAGCAAGGTTCTCTTGAGCTTCGAGACTCTTGCCACCAGTTCCTCCGGGAACAACGGTCCCTCCTTGCCTTGCCTTATTGTCAAGTTCCTCTCGTTCTTGTTGAGACGCCATTATCACTTTCAATCTTCTACCTTCTGTCTTTATTTAACACTAGGTAAATTCACGTTACTATGCATGCAAAGTGGCTAAGGGTGGTTTTTATACAAGGAAGCCATGGAAGGAGCCGATCGACGACGGCAGGACACGTAAAGGAATATACGAGGCAAATGGGGAGCAAATGATGCATTATTCCGATGACACGCAGGTGCTTAGTCATATTTTGGGTGCAAACCCGATTGACACAATAGTCAAATTAGTTACAGTAGTAACATCGGTTTCCAAGTTCCAGCATTCTTTTATCTTACAAGAAAAGGAAATATATAAACATATTTTGGTTTTTGAATAGAGGCTATAAAGCATATCTACTACGGATATAATATATTGGATAAAAGATGATTTGATAAATAAATCAGTCATATGGGACTAGGACTAGCGTTGAGAGAGAACGATCTCATATGGATTATTCAAGGCTTAAATAGTTGGAAGCACACTAAACGATCTCGGTAATAAAGAAATTATTATGATTCTTTGAAACTTTGAGTGGTGCTTAGACAATATATAATGTGTGGATTTAACAAAATACGAGTTTACACATTGAAATTATTACATAATGATCATACATGCTCAACTAAAATGATTTCGTATTGTACTTTGATAAAAGATACTATTAGAATCACTTCGATGATATCAATGTCATGACATTACTTCAAAAGATATTTAACAGTTCATGCACAATAAAATAAATTTTTTATTAATTTAAGGTAGATGCAAGGAATACCGATAATTCTTTTACCACTAAAGTTGTTCGGTCACAATAAAAATAATTTTGAAGGTATAAGTTTACGAATTCAATAATACATAATTGCCCAACTGTTACAACAATAAATATAGGGTAAATTTAGTGTTTAATACTTAAACAATCAGTTTTGGCCTCTTTTAATACTTAAATTTTTAGTTTTTTTTTTTCAAAATCATATCTAATGTTTAGTTTTGTGTCATTTTAGTACCCCACAATTAAAAAATTGACGACATTGTATTTTTTATGAGTAAATTATATCATTCATAGCTCAACTATATTCTCACTCTTATTTTGGTACTAAAGTTTAAAATTTCAATTTAAATACTCAACTTTCAAATTACTCATTTTTTAATCACTCTATTTTATTTTATTAATAATTTTCATGAGATGACATTTTTTATTATATATATATATATAATTAAAAATAAAAAAATAAAATTGAAAGTTGAGAGTAATTAAATTAGGAGTAATTTAAAAATTAAGTAATTAAATTAAAAAAAATTAAACTTTAGTGACCAAAATAAGAGTGAGAAGATAGTTGAGTGATAAATGATGTAATTTTTACACATAAAAAAAGTGTTACGTGCAAATTACCCATTAAATTTTTAACGGCAAGATACTAAAATGAAACAAAAACTAAACGTTAGATATAGTTTTGAAAATGCATAATGCAATAAAATACCCTAATATTTGACAGTATTGTCAAATTTACCCTTATTATTTTTTGATACATTTAACCGCTCAACGTTTCATTTCGGGTCAAAAAACACCATCGGTGGATGGAAACCGTTAGTCAACTGATGTCAACGACTGACGTTGACCAAGAAAGCACACATGAAGGGAGATACTGACGTGGCGCATCCAGGTCATGATACATGAGGACAAGGCACTGCAACGTTAGAATTTTTTTTTTAAAAAGAATAAAAATATTATTAATAATATTTATATTTAATTATTTATTACCAATCATAGAGTGTCACGTGCCACTCTCCAATCGGTGTTGGTTTAAAGGAAATAATTTTTATTTCGTTAATTAGAACCCATCAATCGATGAAACGTGTCATCATATGGTTGATTGAATATAAAGTGAAAAAAATCAAAACCTACAACTACCGGTTTTTGAACCCAGGTCTCGGGGTGAAGGCTAAACACCTTACTAATGGAACAACATGCTATATTGGAAAGATGGCATGTGGTAGTTACAAAACAAATCAAGATTAAAACCAAGTGTTCTCACCAATTCTCAGAAGATGTCGTTTTCTACAACAAATTTCATAATCGGAAAACTATTAGCAACAGACTTAAGGAATCACACTGCACTCTCCTGATTATTTTTGGTTTTCATCACAACACATTTACCATTCCTCTGTCATATTTATCCTTTGCATCTCCTCCTTTAATCCCCAAAACCAGAAAATTCACACTAATCATAGCTAAATCTTTTCAAAAGAATAACAATATGTGGACAACAAATAATAACTTAGGTTCAATCAATACCCAGATGGCAAATCCGAAAAATAACATCGGGTAATTCATAATCAAACGTCGTTGGATTAAAAGACACTCACACACTGAAAGCTAATTAATAACTAAACTAAAATCAGGAAATCAAACCCAGACTAAAGAACTTCCCTTTACTTAGATTGAATCAAAATCCAATACTGAACAATGGGAATAAGAATTGAAACATGGATGTAAAGGACCTTTTGAATTCGAATCTCGTTATCTTTAAGACGAGAATCTCTGATTATGTCCTCAGTGGTCATCGAAGCGAACTAGTCTTCTTCAAAGCTCGAATCTTCGACTATGGCTGACGCCATGGTAGATTTGAAAAGAAAGTAATAAATAGACCGAGAATTTAGTTGAAATATAGAATCAGATTGCAGCGTATCCAACTCCTTCATAGTTTGAATCACGCAGACTCTGCTCTGTCTTATATTCTATCGAAGCCTCAATTCAAAGTCTTATGTGATTGCTTTGTGAGTTTTTTGCTCATAGTCGAGGTCCCTCTCGCGCTTTGAGCTGCTCGACTATCACTTGCTTCTTGGTTTACAAGTCTTGCATCGTCAACTCTGGGTCTCCCTGTCTTCCCCCTCCTATTCCTCTTAACAACTTGATGGTTCAGGCCACCAATCACGTAGTTTATTCTGTGAATCTCTTGTCTTGTTGAAAACTTCGACGAGCCCAACAGAACCATTATAGAGGACCTATGATATATCACTCTTGCTACACCAACTCTTTTGACGTTGGTTAGTCTTTTATCTTATAAATTCTTAGTGCACAATAATACTTAGGCGGCAGTGTCGACCATATATCATTCAGGGGTAGAGCCGACCATATATCAATCAGGCGATAGAGCCGACCATATAATAGAATTAACACAAGTTTACTAAGAACTTAGAAACAACTAAGGCTTAACCAGGAAACTGAAGAGAAGAGAACAATTTTATTGATACAAAATACAATTATAATATTACTCACTTACCCAACTATTTTTCTCTTCTTTACCTCTAAGGTCTTTTTTCTAGCTCACACTTTTGGCATCATTTTTTCACGTTCTCACTCTTACTACAATGGTAAAACTCACCCCTATTTATAGATTATAGTGATAATTAGATTGTTGACACATGTCAACATCTTAGTCATTTAATATTACAAATATTTATATTATTGTAATAGATAATTCTAGATATAATATCAAATATTAAAAATATTTAGATTTTTATATGGATATTTCTACACATCTACAAATTCTATAGAGTATTATTAATATATATATATATATATATATATATAAACTAAATAACTCTAGAATTTGCATTGTCCTTTAACATGTTATATGACCCTGCATATATAACATGAATGCACATCTTTGTGCATGTCGGTTAAATGTTTATGATACTGGAAAATTGGTAATGCCTCTTATTAAAGGGGTGAAAGGAAACTATTACCTGTTCTATCAGAGGGCCATCATCAGGCAAAGGAAAACATATAGAAGTCTGGCTAGCAACAGATTCAAATAACTGCAGTTTAATCTTTCTAGAGAAAAAAGAAGAATCATCACCGGCTTGGGAAGATTCAATCAAATCCACTATTCTGCATGCATTTGAAAGATGGATTTCAGAAAGGTGAATAAAATCGATTTCTCTTCAGAAACAGTACAAGAAAAGAGTCCATGCAAGAAACCTGTGACCGTTTGCCATCATAGCATTTGTTAAAAGCTCAAAGATAACTTGGAGAACTTGAAAAACTTTACCACTTTGGTTTCATTTCCCTCAACCTTATATTATACCCCATAACAAGTTATGAGATTTCAAATACCTATTTTATTAGGGGAAATGCAAAAGACCAAAATGTTTGCAACTCAACTTTAGTGGTGTAAAAACTTACCAGCAATTCAAGCAACTCAACAAATTTAGCTTGTAGAGCTGGCAGTGCACTCATCTGAATTCCTTAAGAAAGCTTGATTCTTCAATGCTTCTTTCAATTTCATTCAAGATGTTTGATACAGTCCTAACCGAAAATATGCAGGTTAACAATAGTAGCAAGGCTAGTGAGCAACACTCATAATACCAAATTTATCTACCTAATACAAAAATAATATTGGAACATTTTATCAAAGAAAAATTGATTTGCCACAGCACGAATGCCATACAAAAGAGTAAAAACATGCATACATATATATATATATATACATGATGTTGCTTATGTTGCTTCCTACCTCTTTTCAAGGTCGCCGACAATAAGAATTTCAAGGATGTACTTCACCGACTCATCGCACTCCTCTATAGAAAAGTACATGTACTCATATTTTCTAATCCTTTCAAAGAGTTTCTCGTCCTTCCCCACAAAATCTCTTGCACTGCTCACAGCGGTCCAAAACTAAAAGATGGAGCAATGTTAAGCAGGAAGAGCAATGATGAAACAGAAAAAATAAAATATTTTCTTATGAAAAATCATATCTTCTTCTTCTTCTTCTTCTTCTTCTTTATATTATTATTAGTATTAGGGTAAAGTATATAAATAGTTCCTGAACTTTTAGGATGCTAGTATTTCGGTCACCCATGTAATACCCAAAAATTTGAGGACCTCCTTCTTCTTCTTCTTTTTATTATTATTATTATTATGGTAAAGTATATAAATAGTTCCTGAACTTTTAGGACCATTGCATTTTGGTCACCCATGTAATACCCAAAAACTTGAGAAACATTTA